GAAACTGGATCTTTCAGAAGTGGTCTGCCAGGCTGTGGGAAACAGAAGATGATATCTGTTAGCAGATGCCAAAAATGCCAGTGGTACAGTTAGCAAATGCAGCGGTCATTCGGAATGTTTATTATGTTAATGCCCTGGCGTTCCTACTTGCTGATAGATGCCAATGACTTGAGGTTTCAGGTCTTGATATATAGGACTTGAGTTGTTAAGAAGTAAATGGTTGGACTGTGGCTGGGGTTTTGACAAAAAAAGTCAACTGTTTGGTTATATGCAAGATTACGTATGTATGCAAGGCCAGTGTCTTATCTATTGAGTTGGAAAAAGCCATGATCTTTATTTAATCCTCTAGACACACACTGGAATGTATGTATGTAGGTCACTTCAGTTATTGCTTGGATGGCAGAGTAAAACTTGGAGTAAAACACAGCTCTTTCCTTCAGTATGTCATTGTCATTTCCTGCCCTCCACATGTACAGCCAGGGGCAGTTGCCTCAATTAGATGGTGACTACATGGTCCATTACCATGGGATTTGCTCTGCTTATAAAATGAATGAATGTGATTTTTTTTAAAAAATTGTCTGCATGATGTACAAGGCTCATTCGAATTGTTCCATTGAAATTGTTCGAATTGAAAGCCAAGTGGGGACGTGGTGGTGCTGTGGGTTAAACCGCAGAAGCCTCTATGCTACAACGTCAGAAGACCAGCCGTCGTAAGATCATCCACGCGACGGAGGGAGCTACCATCGCTTTTCCCAGTTCCTGCCAACCTAGCAGTTCAAAAGCATGCAAAAAATGTGAGTAGATAAATAGGTACCACCTCGGTGGGAAGGTCACGGCGTTCTGTGTCTACTCGTGCTGGCCACGTGACCACAGAAACTATCTTCGGACAAACACTAGCTCTACGGCTTGGAGACAGAGATGAACATCATGCCCTAGAGTTGGACATAACTGAACTAAATGTCAATGGGAACCTTTACTTTTACCTTAGGATCAGAATTCTCAAATCAAGAGATGGTCCTCTCTTGCCTATCTCTTGCTTTGATGGGCTGTCTTGAGGATCAGAGAGTGACCAGTAGTTAAAACTGCTGTACTGCAAACTCTGCTCCTGAGTTTGAGCCTGACAGATTAAGGAAGCCGACTCAAGGTTGGCTCAGCCTTTCATCCTCCTGACGTTGGTAAAATGGGTACCCAGCTCACAGGGGGCGCAAGTTGTTGTTCAAATAATTATGTTGTAAACTGCCCAGAGAGTGCTTTAGTGCTATGGGACAGTATATAAGGAACACGCCTTGGATAGCCTGGGATTTCTTTCTGCCTGGAGGGCCTTAGACTCCACAAGAATACGGTAAATAACCCCTAATGAATTGTCAATGGATTCTTTACAAAATCTGAGAGAAGGTCCATGCCCTAAGAGGTAACAGCCCACCAACTCAGCTAAGGGGCTGTATTTATTATCAAGCTGAGGATGTGGGAGAGGGCATTGTGGTGGCCACCATTTTGTAGGCTGCCAGGTGTCTCCTTCCCACATCGTGGGGGCATTGTGGTGGCCACCATAGGCTGCCAGGTGTCTCCTTCCCACATCGTGGGGGCATTGTGGTGGCCACCATTTTGTAGGCTGCCAGGTGTCTCCTTCCCACATCGTGGGGGCATTGTGGTGGCCACCATTTTGTAGGCTGCCAGGTGTCTCCTTCCCACATCATGTTGGCCAGGAGGTGGTTTCTTCTCCCACAGGTGGCATAGGTTTTATTATTTGAATCCGGCCTGTCTGTGGGGTTTTTTAAGGAGAGAAATGCTGGGTGAAGCCGCCATTCAGTTTTGGACATCCTCCCATCCCCTCTCCCTTTGTGCATTTGGTGTTCAATGTTAGAACTTTAAAAGGGTTCTGCATGTTCTGTCACAGCTCTGTTGGAAGTGGTTGGAAGCATGAGGAAGGATCTACCCGGATGGAGGTATGGTCAGGCAGCAGCTTAACTCTCCCTCATGGATTCCCCTGAAGGGGGTGGAGCAGTGAGATATTACAGGGCTCAACTGAAAAGGACATGGAATTCTCTGCCCTAAGGGTACTGAAAGAGGCCACACAGTGGTGGACACCCACGTGGTTAACCCCATTGGTGGTTAACCCCACCTTGGTTATAACATCAGTTGGCAGATGGGTTGGCTGATGTTGATCTATCCTCCATGCTAGCAACAGTACTAGTGCCAGGTGTCACTGATAAGGTTGTGGCATGTTTTATTTCCAGTGCTTGTGTGTTCGAGTGTTAATTTCATAATTGCCTGGGACCACTACCTGCTTGGCTTGGATGACAACTATGATGCTGCTCGTTGACAACTTGATTGTGTTAGGCCAGTGTAAAAAAGACTGAAGCAGATTCAAGTTTGTAGGCCCTACCTTCTTATAATGCATTAGTGGACCATCAGAGGTCTTGGTGAGGGCAATGTCTTTCCAGTGTCTAGCAAGACAGCTGTATTGCAACAAAGGACCAAAAAAAATTCTACCATGGTTATATTCAGTGGCATCATGTGGGTCATGTAAAAACGTTGTGATGCAACATATGGGTGAAGCAGGGCACAGGGATGGGGTGGGCGGGGCCGGAAAAGCTCCTGAGGTGGTGCCTTGTAGCCATTTGGAGCCACTCAAGGTCTGTGCTGGTGGCAGCAGTGGCTGGCCTGACAATCCTGGAGTTTCAGACTTGGAGTGCCAGGAAGGGAAAGAGGAGCAGAAAGACCAGCTGCAGGAGCATGCTGGGCAAGGCAGCCTGTATGCACCTAAGACTTTTGTGGCCAGGATGATCACCCCTGTAGCACCTCCTCCATGCTACACCACTGCTTTGCACTCCCTAAAAAAATTTGCACCCCGGTGACTGCCCCTGTGCCCCCCCATGCTACATCATGGGTTACATTCACATGAACAACAATTTAAATGCGACATGTTAAGAAAGGATGCAAAAAAAGTCCACGGGTTCTTGTGCAATTAAAAAATAAAAAGATGGAAGGAAAAGAGGAGAGGCCATTAAAGGGTGATTTCCAGTGAAACTGGCAGGAAGAAGTGGATGAAACTAGTGCTCTCGGAGAGTTAACACTGGGATTATTCATTGTGAAATAAAAGAACAGGCCTGTCCTCCTTCATTCTGACCACCTTGACAGTCAGAATAAATGACCTGGGATCTCCCAAAAATATCTGCTTTGCCCCTAGCTGTGGTTTTGTATGATTTCTGGTAAGGAGGATATTTACATGTGGAAATACGTTCCTCTCTATCACAAAGACTACTGGACTATTTTCAAAAAAAATCTCTATTGTGATACACTTTAAGGAACTGTGTAAGTGTTCTGTGCCATCAAATTGGAACTGGCTTACAGTGACCCTTATGGGTCTTCAAGGTAAGTGATATATTCAAGGAGCAGTTTTACCAGTTTCAGTCCCCCACTGAGTTTACATGACCACGTGGGATTTGAACCCTGTTCTTCAGCATCCTAGTCTGTCACTCTATCCACTACACCAGACAGGAATCTCTTTAAGGAACTAGCCACCCATTTCAAGAATGGCAGTCTGTTTTTGTCTTCTCCAACTTGTAACTTCTTGTACAATTTGAACCTAAAACGATTTAACAAAGAACTACCATGAGGAAGTTAGGGTTGTGGGTTTTTTGGGGGAGGGCCATAATTTTGTCCCAGAAGAACAACCTTTACCTCACAGGGCATGCAAAGACAAAGCACTTCACAAAGGTAAAGTGCTATATTTTAAACAATTTAGCACCTAATTGCTCTTAGCCTTGCCATCCTATGAACAGAGGAGGTACCAAGGGCAACACAGGGGTTTTTGACAGTGAAAGTTCCTCGCATGAGCTGATAGGCCAAAGCTCACACTTTGTAGAGGGAATGACACGTACACAGTGTGTTTGTTTAGGCATCGCAGTTTACAATCAGTCCATTAAAGATGCAGGGAGCTATGATTAATAGTGCGTCTTTCCTGGCTTGAGGGATAATTGCTGTTTTCTTGTTTGCATTTGTAGTGGATGCAAGAGTGAGTGTTGTCCAGGATAATGTGGCTGTTTCTTCCCAGAAGACAATGGAGATCAGCTCCGTCTCTGAGGCCGATGGAAAGAATCTTGGGACGGAGGCCAAGCCTGCCCCGCCAGCTGCCAAATCTCGTTTCGTCTTTGCATTTTCACGGCCCGTACCAGGACGTACCGAAGAGCAGGCGAGAGATTCATCCGTTGGATCGGCTCAACTTGATGTCAGCTCAGAAGCACCCCAAGCGAACAAAGCGCCGAGTGAGACTGTGGGCCTTCCTGGCGCAGCTGCGCCAGAGGAAGTGTCAAATAAAAAGCTAAGCGAGGCATCTGTCGGTGAAACTGCATTCACTGCACCAGCTGAAGCAGAGGGTGATGCTGCAGTGCCCAAGCCCAAAGAGTTAACCTTTTTCGACCGACTCTTCAGACTGGACAAAGACAAGAACAAAGGACAAGAACAGAGCTCAGAGGAAGTGCAGGCAGAAAACCCAGGTCTACTCATCACCGCAGAAGCAGCACCAGGATTACAAAGCACCCCAGATAATATCCAGCAGCAAAAGGCAAGTATATAAACAGGACTATCTATTTTTATTCCTAATGAAATCTGCGAAGCATTTTCAGGGAGGAAAGAGCTTCATACCGTACAAACAAGAAAACGAACTGTAACTGAAGGAGTTTCAACAGGCACCTGTTGTGAACAGGAAATAAAAGTTGTCGTGGTTTTGATCTTAGTTGGTGGCCAGTGGTGGATTAATTCTTGAGCTAAGAAAGTCGCAGTTCAGCAATCAGATGACGTGGGGTGTCTACTTAGACAAACAAACACCTACATTTCAAGTTTTGCATAATGGTATTATTGGAAAAAAATTTAGGGGACCAGATTCTAAAACAGATATAGATTTATTGCAAAATGTATGCTTTAGTTAGATTGTACATATTTATTTCACCCTCACATACCTACCAATATACATGCAAATGCAGAGTTTATTATTTCTACATCTCTTTGATTAATATATGCATCGGTCTGTGTTTTTTAAATAATTCTATGGGGTCTCCTAAGCCTGATGTAGTTTAGGACTTCTGCATGTTTTAATCCAGTCCTATGGGGGCTACTTGTGGCAGGTTTACTCAGTCTGGCTCCACGTGGGGCCTACAGAGCAACATTTTCTGGATTCTCCCAAGAACTCTCCTGTTTATGCATGAGTTCCATTCACCTGGAAAATAAATTAATTTCCAAACAGTGTGAACAACGGGGATGTTCTGAAGAAGTTAACGGTCATTCTTGAGTCTGATATTCAAGGGTCAGCCATGGATTAAACCCATGAGCTCCGAGTCTGTGGAAAGACTAGAGTGGCAGACCTCACCACTTTTATAGTGGAACCTCTCCCCCTGTGTGTGCAAGGAGCGAGGAGCACTGAGGCCGCATAGCTAAGTACCACAGAGAACGAAATGGTGTAGAGAATTCAGAAGTGGACTGTCTATGAACTACAGTTTGCATACAGTCATCTATTCATTGCTATATCTCATTCTTCCTCTCCCTTGTATTAGGAATGGATGTTTTAGTTCCCCTCGGGTCATGTTTTATTGCGCAGTCCACACAACTACACCTACAATATAGGCATTCTATAGCATTGTCTTAGTTGTAAATGCCACTTGCTGTCTAAATGTTTTTCAGAGAGAGGGGGGAGGGAGGGGGAGGGAGGGAGCTGGTTGGTGGCAAAAGGTCCCAACAAACCTATTTATTTGTGTCATTATGGTACATTTTTGTCCCAGTTAATGTCATGTGTTTAGCAGTCTTCCTATGAAGCAAACTATGAATAAATATATCCTGATTGTCAATAGGTTGAGAGGACATGTTTGGGAGGGCACTGGACATCTCATGGGGGGGGGTTGTCACAAAATACAAGAGGTGTACATTAAACCCTCTCCTTAATCCTGACTCTAAACACAGAACTTCCCCCCAATATGTTGGAATTCTCATGGGGGGGGTCAGAAAATGCCCCACAGCTTATTCAAGGCAAATGTTGCTTTTTATTCTTTAACCCTGAGGGTTAACACTAGTATGAAGATATTATTCCTATTTTGCCTTCCAGTAGCATAGTTCACAAAGAGTCAAACGTGACTTAACAGCTAAACAACAACAACAAGCATAGGATTGTTATTAGTAAGTCTCTTTAAATGGCCCTTTGGCTTGGTGAAATATACCATTTCACCTGTATACTCATATAAAACCATTAAAAATTGATTGATTCTTTTTTAAAAAATCTGAGTTTTGGTGTGAAACCTTTGTGGTCTGAAACCAATAAAACCTTTATCCATGTTCAGTACTGACCACATGCCACCATCTCCGGTTCAAGAGTTCTGCAGTCATACCTGAGTAACCTACATGGCCAAGCTGATTTGTATAAATATTCAAGAACCAGTTCTGTGCATACCAACAGCCTCGGCCAATTGAGCACACTTCCTTTCTCCTTGTATGCAAACAGAAGGGCTTCTTAAACCCACCCAGCCCCGGTAACTCATGCTTTTATTGTTTTTATCAATGATATTTACTATCTGTTCCTCATTTATAAGCTGTAACTGTAAAGATAGCTGACTATTTTCAGGAAGGCCTTGGATTTTTAACTGTAACTTTTTAAGATTTTCAACCTCTGAGTAATACTAGAACTGAACTCCCTTGTAGAGAAAAGCAGATTGTGGTCCGTCTAGAGAGCGAAACATCCCTTCTTGCCTAAGCCATGAGAGATCCAAGCTTGTAGGGCCTATATTGTCCCAGCACTACATGTAGGAGAACTGTCACAAGCTTATAACATACCCATTTATACCAGGCTAGGTAAAGGCAGAAAGGGAACACTTTGGGATTGATAGGAGAATAGCTTAAAATGTCTTAAAATGCTCTTTAAAAGTGAATTTATAAAGTAAATATAAAGTGTTATTTGTTACACCAATTAAATAACTTTGCTACTGCTTATTATGCTAATTTAGAATGTAACTTCATTATAACTCCTTTATCTCAAAACTAACTAGTTACAAGTAACTACATTATCAAAGTAACTAGCTACAGGTAACTGTGTCACATAGCTTGATGCTTCCAAGCCCTAAGCAACGACTGCCAAAGGGAAAGGGAAAGACTGTTTTGGTGCATGAAAAACCTTACAAATCTTTATTTTTCCAGAAATACCTATGGAAGTAAAAAAAGAAATGAGTTGCCACTGACATTGATTTGGAATGTTGGTGAACTGGAGCTTGTTGGGTTTTTCAAACCACTTGTTGTAATCCATTTCCCAGCCTTGTTTTGCTTGGGTTTGACTTGAAAAACAAAACGTCAATTCAGGTTAAGAGGCCTCAATGCACACAGAAGAGAGTTTTTTAAAAAAAGAAAGAAATCTGGTTTCTTCAGCCTAATTGATGGGCAGGAAGCCTAATTTCTGATTATAATGGGTGATCTATTTATACTGGGAGTCTAAATATTTGACAAAATTGTAATCACACAGATTTTGCTTTCACCCTTCTAGTAAACCATGACTGATATCTCTCAACGAGAGTTTAATCACATCAAAGCTTTTCCCGCAGGTCAAGCAGCCCTGTTGAGAAAAGAGAGGGAGAATTCTCCATTTTAAGTTTTATTCTGGGAACCACACAGGCATTGTGTATTCAACTGAACCAGGGCCTTATTTTCAAGCCCCACAAAACTACATTCAGGAAGCAGCATAATTAAAACAAGGGCAGGATTCATGAATTAATGAAGCATTTACTGTTTCAAGCCAAGGTAAATGATGCGCCTGCAATGTTTCAGTGACTAAGCCAGACTTCATGTAAACAAAGAGGTCCTGGTGAGAAGATTTTTTAAAAAATGTGATCTTCTCCATGTCCCAAAATGGCAGAGCTGATACAAAAGTGTATGCATTTTGTTACAAGTTTACTCACCCAAAATAGTTAATATGTTATCCTGATTTTTTTTATTGTGTAATATAGCTCTCTCTCTCTCTCTCTCTCTCTCTCTCTCTCTCTTTCTGTGTGTGTGTGTGTGTGATATGATATATAGAACAGAGCTGGAAAATGTTACTGAATGTTACTGAAAAAGCACTTTAGCGTTAACTTTTATAAAAACTAATTCATTGGTCACTTATATGTTACATTTGAAGTGATTTTAAAAATTGTTTTTAAAAAACAGTCCCCAAAATTCCATGAAATAATGTCAAAATGACAAGTGAACGACATTTAATGAGGAAATATTCCGCAAAATCTCTAATGTTTACCTCATGTTCATTAAAACATTTGTTGCTCTTTGTTACTATTAAAATATGGCAAGCTACAATGTTGCTTTTAACAGATTTTTCTTAAAACTGCCGTAAAATAGGTGGTTCTCAACATTCTCTGTATGAGTCACCTTCCAACTTGATTATCAGTTTCCAAGCCTTTTCGAAGTTGCATAAAGTGCTGGATGATTAAAGATCATGACATATATGTGTGTGTGTGTAGCCCAATGTGGGTTTTTCTTCAGCAGATCATATTCCATTACCAATCTCCTACTTTAACCTCTCAGCCTCCTGGGAAATGCAGATCAACAAAAGTATACATTCCACAATAAGAATTTGTATTTTTAAAAATAATAATACTAATAATCCAAGCCATTTTTAAAAAGAAAGGAAAAAAAAGAAAGAAAGAAGGATTTGAAAGATCATCCAGGCAGGGACAGTGGCATCATCACTGCATCAACTCATTTTCGTTCTGCACACCTGGTTTCTGCTGAGCAGATCTGGACACTCTTGAACAAAGTCTGGAAAAGGCTGGGTATGGATTTTTTGTTGTTGTTGTTTTGATGGACTACAACTTCCATAATCCTAGAATCTATTTCTAGGATTTATTTCCCACCTTCATTCTGCAAGAAAAGCCATATGGTTGTCTCAAAGAGCCATAATGGAACTCAGCACTCAGGAGAGGAACTTTTGCGAACACCCCCAAAGAATCTGGACACCCAGTAGAGTCTTGTGGGTGGAAGAGCAGCTCACATAGTACAGGTTTCTCTGACATCTGCTTTCCAGATGTGTTGCACCGCAGCTCACATCTGCTGGCAAATCTCACTCTCATCAGAAGCATTCCGTTTTAATGCTCATCTACCCCCTAAACAAGCACACAATTCCAAAAGCAAATTTTAAAAGTTTCATTAATGTTCCTGAAATGTTTGTGAATCATTTCTTGAGGAGATGCTGGTTCCTGAATTAGAAAACAAGTGGGGGTTTAAAAGTAAGGAAGCCCAGTAAATGCCACACTCATTTGCTACCAGTCAGCACAAAGAGAAAGGGAACAACTGCTCCTTCTGAGGGCACCCTGAGGAGTGCTTTTGTTATATTAAAATTCCACCCATGCAATATTTCACACATATCAAAGCCCACTTGTGCCCCACCCAAATGTATGCTCCCTTCTTTATGATATGTCAACCCTTTAAATGTCCATAAAGTCCATATAGGAAGTGGGAAAGGAGAATGGAGGACATTCAAGGAGTAAACCAGGCTCAACACTGTCTCAGAACAGCATTTTCTTTTCATCGAGTGATGCTAAA